GGGAGGAAGGGGGGCTGGGAAGCAGAGGGCAGGGAGAGATGCAGCGGCGCTGCCAGGGAGATCAGGAAGAGGAACGGGCCGGTGGGAAGCAGAGCTGGGGAGGAGTGCAGGGGGGCTGGCCGGGGAAGATCAGGAGGGGAAGTGAGGGAGAACCGGCCGGCCGGGAAGGTGGGGGGTGAGCAAATCGGCTTCCCATCCTCCTCACACTCATCGCGGCCCCGCCTCCTAGCTGGAACTCCCAGCTGCTTCCCCCATCCATGCCAAGCTTCCGTCTGGTGCGCAGCCGGAAAAATCAGAAAATACTGGACATTGCACATGTCCGGTATTTTCTGATTTTTTTTTACCAGGCAGAGCGTGTAAATACCGGACTGTCCGGTACAATACTGGACACCTGGCAACCCTATATACTTGTGGAAGTTAAGTACAGATTTTTACTCCAGCTGGTTGGAAATGAACTTCCATTTCTATTGGTGTTAATTTTTTTTTAAAAAAAATCATTGTTCTCAGGAATTCAGTAGCAAAATTCATTTAATGGACTAAGAATGCTAAAGTTAGCCAATATTTTAAGAGAAGCTAAAATCAGAATTTTATATAATGTATAAACACTAGAGAAACATTGTTTTATTCAGTGGAACTCGGTAAAGTGGTTAGCTCTTATAAAATGCTTTTGTAATTTTATTAATGGCCTTTCCCAGTTTCTCTTGATGTAGGAACACTTGTTTTTACTGGAGATGTATGGTAAATACATCTACAACCTTATTTGCACTACTAGTAAAAGTTTGATGCCAGCTCACTCTTCTCTTGAATGGCTTTAAGAATTTTCCCTCTTTCTGTGGTTCTAATGCTTTCAATTATTCACAGTGATTTCTCACGGCAAGCAAAAGCTCTGAAAAGATCTTTTCTGAGATCAGTTTGCAAGCCGTAAAATTCTGCCAGTCAATCTAGAATCTAGTGATAGCTGGATGTCAAGCATGTACGATTATTGATGGTTGGTTAGGAGGATGTTGGTATTCATTGTGCTAGAATCTGAAGCTCTTCTCAAGACTGGCATTACATGCAAGTCCTATTAGTAAGTATTTGCTTCTGTAAACTGGTAAGCTGGGATCAGGCATTGTCACTGGGCCAAAATTATTATTCTGAGCAAAACAGTCTTCCAGCACCTTGATTAAGTACCCAAGCTGACATTATCAGCCAAATAGGCGCTGCCTTCTCCATCTGAACTGAAGTAATGGTATATATAACTACACAATGTGATATAATCAATCTGCTGTATTTTTAATAAAATCTGTAGTTTGCAACGCCTTTCATTTTTTTTCTTCTCCCTTTAATGCTTGCTGAAATGTTGTGAAGATCAGGACTTTAACACGGTTCAAAAAATAACTAGATAAATTCGTAGAGGATAGGTCCATCAATACTTTTTTAGCCAGGATGGGTAGGAATGGTGTTCCTAGTCTCTCTGTGTCAGAGGTTGGATATGGGTGACAGGGGAGGGGATTGCTTGATGATTACCTGTTCTGTTCACTCCCTCTTGGGCATCTGGCATCTTGTGTTTGCTAACATCCATCACTTCTTTACTGCTGTTCAGTTTCTTATCTAGGTTTTTATATGGCCTCCTCACCATAGTATTGGTGTGTGTTCTAAAATGGTAAAGTATACATATATGTTTTGTCACTACAAACTGGATTGATGAATGCCAAACCACTGCAGGAGTCCCAACCTCATTTCTTAGATTAATAAATGTGTATTTTTCTTCTGTTCTCTGCCTTTTCTTTGTAACCCATTTGATATTACTGTAATTTCAGCATGAAACCAGTGTAATTGATATACAGGCAGTCCCCGGGTTACGTACAAGATAGGGACTGTAGGTTTGTTCTTAAGTTGAATTTGTATGTAAGTCGGAACTAGTACATATTGTAGGGGAAACTCTAGCCAAACATTTCTCCAGAGCTCAGTTTTATTCTCCCACACCTCACTTCCCTCAGTCCTTTATTCTCAAGCTGAGGTGTCTGCTGAGAAGCCGCTCCGCGTCTCCCTGCTCTGCTGGGGGGAAGCAGCTAGTGCGGGGTTGCCTCACCCCGTTTGTAAGTAGGGATCCGATGTAAGTCGGATCCATGTAACCCGGGGACTGCCTGTACTTCCTTCCCAAGAGTATTATCATAATTTACTTCATGAAATATTATTAACATTTTGTCTACAATTTTCATTTGTGATAGGATTCTGAAGGTGTGGACATCATGTTGGGCGTATGTGCTAATGGGCTACTCATTTACAAGGACAGACTCCGAATCAACCGCTTTGCTTGGCCCAAAATTTTGAAAATCTCTTATAAGCGCAGTAACTTCTATATAAAAGTCAGGCCTACAGAGGTAAGTAGTACTTTTATTCATCTTGTACAGGTCTCTTCATAAACAGCTTGAGATATTTTATAGACGATAATGGTCTACTTTTCTGCTGCTGTTCAAGAGTGAAAGCTAAAGTTCAGCCAACTAGCAGGATAATGTTTTCCAACCTTCCCATGGTATTCTAACAAAGTTCAGATATGGGTTTTATATCCACTCCTGTTTGGCAATAGAGAATTTCTGAATCCCCTTCACAGATGACCAGTCATACCAAATACTAACACGTGGTATCCGATTAATGCATTCTTATGAACTAGCAAACTCCTTTTATTTAATTATTTTCAGCCAGTTAAAAACATAAGTAGCTTTTACATGAAATGCTGTGAACTACTAATGGAGATTGCTGTATTTCAACTTATGATACGATTGATATGAAATTTTAATTTGAAAAAGGTATTGCTCGCTCCCCTTTTTATGTTTTGTGATTCTTAGACATAGGTGTATTGTTTATCAACATGTACATCTTGAACTTGTATTAACATAACATTTTTGGCCTAAAAATAAAGACAACCTTTGTATGCTGTTTAGGTTGAACACTAACTAGTACAGTATTTCATGGGCTAAAGGAGAAAAGTGTGTGTCAATGCTGATACAATTACAGTTTGTATACACAATTTTTTGCAGTGTGTATTTTTTTTCAAACTGCAGCTCAGGGCAGCTAATCATGAAACTTGCAAAGAAAACTAGGGCACTATTGGTTTTCTCAAAGAAAAGTCATTAGAAAGTACACATGGGAAGTGATAATGTGATTATTACCCTGCATGAGTAATCCACCCAGGGCAATTATAATAAAAGTATGGAACTTTTGAGATGTTTTGAGTCTCAGGAAAGGAGAATTAGTGCTTGTTGTGGTAATGGAAATGTCTGAACTTGGCCTGCTAACCTAGCCAGCTTTCAGGAAATATGTTAATTTATTTTGTGGCTCCTTTCCAGCAGGAACAGTTTGAAAGCACTATTGGGTTCAAATTGCCAAACCATCGGGCTGCTAAAAGGTTATGGAAGGTTTGTGTGGAGCATCATACTTTCTACAGGTAAATACTCAGGGAGTCTTATCCTCCTTCTAAAAATCAAAACTATTGATTTCCTGCCTTCCCTCACCCGCCCCCCCTCCCCAGGAAAATGTGTATGAGTGATTGTATTTTTTCCATTTATTTTGCATCCTAGTTCTAGCTCCCATTGAAATATGTGAAAAATGCATTTAGATCACTGATCATGGAGTATGAATAAAAGGTTAATTAAATTCAATTTTATATCTCAATTCCTATTTGACTCTCCAGAGTAAGAATAAACATGAGTAAGAGTATAGATCTCTAAAATTCATTTGTGCAGCAGCTGAACCCTAAGGATATGTCTACACTACAGAGTTTTATCGGAAAAATGGCCATTTTTCCAACAAAACTTAAGTTACGTCCACACTTCTATCGTGTTCTTTCAAAACTAAATTGAAAGAACAGAGGGGGTTTTCTACAAGGAAGAGCACCTTTTCTGAAAGAGCTCTTTTTGAAAAAGGCGTGTGTGGATGGGAAGGAGGGTTTTCTTTTGGAAAAAAGAGGCCTCCAGGAAATAACACAGGTACCTTGATGGCCATTCCATCCATAGTAATCTTAGTTCCTGTCTCCTGGCACCTCTTAAAGCTGCAGGCACCCTGGCCATGCCTTGTGGCAGGAAGCTGGCCAGGGAGCAGCACCTAACATCACTGCTCTCCCTGCCACAGGCCTGCTCACCCACGGCGGAGCCACAAGCCCCTCAAGGTCCCCCAGGCCCTCGCAGCGAGCAGCCCCAGGGGTCCTAGGACCCACCCAAGGGGACCAAGAGGTGGGTACCGTCCTGATCCAGACCAGAGATCCTGTACTTTCTCATGTGGAGCTAGGAGGAGACATTGCAGGATCTCTGCTCCAAGCACCGCAACGCTGATATCTTTGAGTATATGACTGAGTCCCTGGCGGAGCACGGACACCCACCCCAGACCTTGGAACAGGTTTGGAGTAAGGTGAAAGATAGGAGAGGCTGAGGGATTTGGGCTTATTTAGACTGAAGAAGAGAAGAGTGAGGGGGGATTTAAGAGCAGCCTTCAACTACCTGAAGGGAGGTTCCAAAGAGGATGGAGAGAGGCTGTTCTCAATAGTGACAGATGGCAGAACAAGGAGCAATGGTCTCAAGTTACTATTTCAATAGGAGGGTGGTGAAGTACTGGAATGGGTTACCTAGGGAAGTGGTGGAATCTCCATCCCTAGAGGTTTTTACGGCCAGACTAGACAAAGCCCTAGCTGGGATGATTTAGTTGGGGTTGGTCTGCTTTGAGCAGGGGGCTGGACTCAATGACCTCTTGAGGTCTCTTCCAGTCCTAGGATTCTATGATTCTGTGAAAGAGCTCCTTCAGGGATATGTCAGAGCCAAAGAGCGCAGCTCGTGCTCAGGGGCAAGACCCCACTCCTGCCCCTGCTACCAGGAGCTGCACCAACTCCTGGGGGGTGGGAAAACGCTTTCCTCACCGATCGTGGTGGGGTGGCGAGCTTCCAGATGGTGATTGCGATCCACTTTTCCAGGGGGATGGCGGGCCGCAGGTGGGTGTCACATCTCTGGAGGGCAAGGGCGAGCCAGGCACATAGTTCCAAAAAGGTGGCATTCTGCATGCAGTAGTTTAGAAGCCGCTGCTGGTTGTCCCAATGCTCCATGACCATCCGGTCCCACCAGTTGGAAGTGGTGTCAAGACTCCAGAAATGCTTCTCCTCAGTGGATTGCAGTTGCCAGAGTATAGCTCCCACACCCAGGAAGAGGGTCCCAAAAATGAGCTCAGTGTTGAGCTCAGTCAGGACCAGGAAGGCAGCTGGCAAAAAGTGCTGCAGAAACTGCAGCATAGCTGGGTGGGGCCATCGCATAACATGGGGCAGCTCCAGCTCCATGGCACAAAGGAAAAAGTGGTGGAGACCAAAAAAGCGGGGCAGCCACAGCATGCACTGCTAAAGCTTTGCTGTCCCTCAAAGACGTACGCAAGCATGCAGCAGAAGCAGAGAAATGGCTGTTCACTGGGGTCCCTTTAAGCGTGTCTTAGGTAGGCTCTGGCACTAGCACTCCGAAGCAACTGGTGACCTAAAGTCCTGGCTGAACTGGTTCTGCATGGCCTTTTATGTGAGAGAGCATCCAATCAGGCTGGACGCTCTCTTTCGAAAAACCAGATCACTTTTTCAATGCACTTTTGCGTGTGGACACACTCTTTTGAAAGAAGCCTGCAGTGTCGACGTAGCCTACAAGGGAGTCAAAACCTGCAGAACCGAGCTAATGTCTGGATATGAGGCCTTGTTAAGCTTCAGGTTCCCTTATCGCTGGGCACTATTACAGTAGTTGTTGGGACCACGTGCTGCCATCTTTCCAGTGTTTTCTGGCTAAAGCCATCTCCAGTCTTTAAAGCAGGGTCTTGAACTTGGGTCTCTCTTGTCCTACACAAGTGCCCTAATTAGCAGGCTATAGAGTACAGCTGGTCCTCGAGTTACGAACACATCGATTTACGACTGTTCATATTTACGACCAACCTCCTATACAGCCAAAACCCAAGTTACAAATGAAATCCGCACTTATGAACAGCGCAGCCGTATGTCCGTGAATGTAAACCAACTTACGAAAACATCAAGTTACGACCAAGTGCTTAGAACGTAACTCGTTGGTAAGCTGGGGACGCTGGTCCTCGAGTTACGAACACATCGATTTACGACTGTTCATATTTACGACCAACCTCCTATACAGCCAAAACCCAAGTTACAAATGAAATCCGCACTTATGAACAGCGCAGCCGTATGTCCGTGAATGTAAACCAACTTACGAAAACATCAAGTTACGACCAAGTGCTTAGAACGTAACTCGTTGGTAAGCTGGGGAC